GTTAAAAGCAATGTGCTCTGATCAGTTACAGTTGATATATACTTCTCATTGACATTGATCAGTGACTTCTTCAGAAGTGATATCAGAAACTTGAAAGCCTGTTCAGATAGCAGAGACTCTTACTTATGTGTAGATATTCAAGTCTACTCAATTTATAACATCTGTATCATTGTTATTCTTCAGTGTGAGTATATAAGTTACTAAGATGTAACATCTTCTATCACTGTTCTATATACTCTTGAGCTTGATAAGATAATCATTCAATATTCAGAGCTGTGTGTAGAAGTCTTCATAAGTCTGATCTTTATCTACACTTATAAGAGTCTGTAAGAGTTCAAAAGTTAATGTCTTCTTAAGTATACTAATCTTCATTCAATTCTCTCAAGATTGATCTTCTGCTTCTAGAATTTTGATGTTGAAGTCAGAGATGAATGTTGTAAGAGAAGTGTTTCTCTGTCAGATACTCTGTAATCAATCTAATACTTTCTGTTGCATGGCAGTGTCTTAGAACAGAATATCAAGATATTTAATAATATTATTAAGTGTTCACAATGCTGGTTTACATGCTTTCATTTATGAATAAAACTTCTATTTCATGTGATTCTTTAATTGTTCATTGATATATTAATCTTGATTAATTAGTGAACTAATGACATCTTCATCTATACTCAGTTTTATAAGCATTTTCATTCTTCATGATGAGTAGAGAGTGAGATCAGAAGTATTGAAATATGCAGAAGTATCTAAGTATTCTTTCAATACTTTTGTATTTAATTCTGTAAATGTTGAAATTGTCTGAGTTTCTTGTTGTAATAATTGTTAAATCTCTTCATATTAATGTTATTGAGTTGCATGTATATCAGCTATTTATTACTGTTATAATTTCAACATTGCTCAGAGTCACTGTGATATCACTTCTATACTCATATTCAAGAGTTCTCTCATATTATCATTAGACATGATTATTGATTATTAGATATGTAATTATATGAATATCTCATACATCTGAGTGTCAGAACTCTCAGATCTTTTACTGACATTCTCTTATAAGATCTTACTCTCTTTATAAGATCTTGTTACAGAGTCAGAGTAACTGATGAGTAAGCTTCTATCTGAGAACTCAGTATCTGCTTTAACTGATTGTTTCTCTTTCTTATATGTTATTACATGTTCAGATATCTCTTGATGAATAATCATTTCTAATGAGAAGATGATGTATGAATAATCATTTCTAATAAGAAGATAATGAATGTTTTTCTAGTGTAAGAGATCTATGCTAAATAGATCAGTATAATATTGATAGATCTTATATAACAAAGAGAAAAACATTAGAGAAGAAAAGAAAGAGAAAGTGTAAGAATCAGCAATCAAAGTGAATATTTATACATGTATGTAATGATGTACACAGTGGTGCTTCAGAGCAGAAGAATATACACATGTTTGTAGCAGCTGAGAATTGGCAATTGAAACATATATGTTTGTAGCAGCTGAGAATCAGTGATCAGAAATGAGACAGTAGAAATCTATGAAGTGTACGGAATAGTCTATATAATTGATCGGGCGCAGCTCACTACAATGAGACTGTGTAAGAAGCTCAGTGAGTAGTGACTAGAATCTTTCTCAGTAACAAGAGTGATGAGTAAGCAGATATATGAGTTGAAATTACTCACAGAATTGAAATTAATTTATTCTATTTTTCACATTTTCTATTTAAAGCTCTATAAGTAACACTCTGAGACAGAGCTGTCTCAGCTGAATAATATTGAGATTAAAAATAATATCAAATATCTTATAAAGAAAATATTGAATAAGTGAACATATTACAGTAAGCTTCAATATCTTATTAAATGAGAAGATTATTCATTATCAGAGAATTTATAAGAACTGCTTGAGTATTTGAAAAATGCTGAGAAAGAGATTGTAAGCTATGAGATAACTAGTAGAGACTGCTCTGTTATATATCAGAGATATTAAGTAAGAAATACTACTTAAGACTTCTTGTTTTTCTCAAAGAGTTTTTTAAAGATAATCTCACAGTAATGAGTCAGTGTCTTATAGACTCTGTAGCACTCTTCTTCTATTTTCTCTTAAAGAGTTTTTTAGAAGTTTAATAAGACTATATAAGTATAAAATTTCTGAAGTAGTTAGAGAAAAGAGATATTGAAAATTAATAAAAAGATTAATATTATTAATCTGCAGACTGCTGCTATTCTAATAAAGTCACAGTCTGCTGAAAAAGTAAAAAGAGAGATCAGAGTCTACTCATCAATAATTATATTCTTATTAAACTTATTCTTTATTATTAAAGTCTTCAGTATTAGTATCTTTATCTGCTGAGAAGTTAGTGCTGCAGCACTGTAGAAGAGTATAAGAAATATATAAAAATATTAACTTATTAACTTATAAAGTATCTCAGTTATCTGCTTTAATTGAAGTGAGATTCTCTCTAATCAGTGATTAATCTCTGCAGTACTTTTAATAGTGATGCTGACTAATCTCTTCTTAAGATCAGTTATTCTGAGATATTTTTTCATCTCAGAGATTTACACTTTCATCTTCTTTTACAGATGAGTAAGAGAGATCTTCTCAGTCTTAATAGAATCTGTCAATACTTGAAGCTCTGAGACTCTTACTCTGTACTACTTAAGTATCTAAACTTCTTATCAGAGCTGATATAATATCTTTCTATGAGATAATACTTACAGAGAGATAGAAGTTATTATTACAGATACAATGAAAATAATAAGAGTGAGAGAAGAAATAGATATATAAAATTCCCTTCTTCTTCAGCTGCTTAATATAGTGCAGATAAGTAGCAGTACTGATCAGAGATTATATTAAAGCCTTCTTACAGAGAGAAGATAAAGAAACTATGAGACTCTGCAGACTCAACTCAGCAGCATTCTGAGCAGAGCTTGAGTATGCTGTGAAAGAGAAACTACAGATTGAGCTTCTCAGAGTCACTGTTTCTGAAATCAAGCTCTTCTCAGATTTCTCTCTGAATGATCACACAGGGTTATATATCACTGTATTGACTGAGAGAGAGAGCAGCATTGCAACAGTAATGAAGAGAGCAGGAAATGAACCAGACACAGATACACTGACTGGCAGAAGAGATGACATCTTACTGCAAGATACAGTAACTATCATCATAACTGTAAGAGAAGTAGAAGAAGATGTGATAATAAGAGCAGTGCTTCTACAGCTCATTGATACTACTGTCTTCAATCTGGCTTTCTTAGCAGTTATGAAGACTGCAGTCACACTATGAAGATATTTATTCACTAGAAAATATCAGAATAAGTTTCTTATTATCTTCTAAGAATGATACTCTCATGCACTCACTATTACAGATGAGAGAAGAGGAAGAAAAATGTGTTATAAGAGAGAGAAATCTTTTTGAAAAATCCTGTCACTACTGTTAGCTTTGTCTCTAAAACATATCACTTTTACAGAGAATTTCATATATAGAATGAAATATGATGAGAGATCTGTAAGTCACTTATTAACTATGTTTTTCACATTTTAAATTAATATATAAGAAACTCACTTATCACATGTTTAATTTGAATGAAGATGAAAAAAGAAAGATTTACACAGTCAGTAGAAAAACTCATCTATTTCTTTATATTATATACAGTACATGTGCTGTTAATCAGTTGATAACTATTACTATATAATAAAGATAACTTCTAATTCAGTAATCTTGAGAGTATAGAGACTATACTCTTAAAGAAGAGAGTATTATTATACTCTCAGTTATATCAAGACTCTGCTGCAGTTTCATACAACTTATTACTTTTATACAGATAATTTCATTCTATCTGAACTAGTTTTCAATCACTTTATAATATTATTTAAATATATTATAGAAAGATCTGATTGATGAATAAGAGAATCTCACTTCTATATAAGATTAGCAGATTACTCTTTCTTAATAATAAGACACTGCTGAGATATCACTTCAGCTATTCTCACTTATAAAATAAGAGAAAAGTATTCACTCATTGTCTATATAGAATAGCTAGATACTGACTTCTTATTAAAGAAGTCAGTGATTTATTTCTTTTCTTCTACTGAAATATATACAGAAGTTACTGCATGTCTTATACAATCTTCTTAGTATACTAAGTATTATATCTGTGATATTCTTATAATAACTCTGTAGTCTACAAGCTTACTATTTAAGTAAGATAGTTAAGCTCACTTATATAACTTTTTAAACAACTACTTCTATATGATATCACTGACTAGTTACTACTTCAGTTTCATCATATTATAATTAGTTAAATGAACAGAGATAAATTCATATAGAATATAAAGAGATGTTTTACAGAATTTTAAAATATATTAAGATAAAAATATTTAATAATTAATTTTAAATTAATTTTGAATTGATTTTGAATTGATTCTGAATTGATTGTTAATTGATTATAATAATAAAAATAGATTTAATCTATATATTTAAGTAATTAATAATTGATTGAAAATCAGTTGATAATTAATTTAATATAAATTATATAAATACTTACTTTATTATTAAATTTGAGAATAATTTCAGTATTAAATTAATTTTGAATTGATTTTGAATTAATTAAGAATTGATTATAGAATTGATGATAAATAATTGAGTGGTTTCAAATTATAAGAAAAGATGTATTGAGCGAGGTCAGATAGTGGCATGGACCACATTTGCAAGGTCAGCTTACATAATGAGGTCAAGTGGCGCACTTAGCGAGGTCAAGTTTTCTGCTTCCTGATCGGGCCGGAACCTCCCAGCCCAACCAGAAGAAGCGCGGATTAACTAAGCTCAACTCCGCAGTTTCTGCGAACCAGAGTTGCGACAACTTGTGTTTTTGTTCCCAACTTCGCTCTAACAAAGGATCATCCAGGCGACGCGTGGTTTTGTTTTGCTGTAGCCACGATGGCACTAGATCCAGGCTGAGGATTACATATTTTAATAACCCGGCATGAGCTAGACCGCCAATAATTGAGTCAAAATGGAAACAGCAATTGAAACAGCAATTCGTTGGTCGCCAGCTTCCAATGCAGATGAGCAGAGATTCCTCTACGTCGATGTATCTGGCAAATCTTTCAAGCTCTGCAGGGTGACGTCTGGAGATAGCACCTCGTTGAACTACGATGTGCTGGTATCACACTCCAGGGCCCCTGTCTTTCGTGCTTTTGACTGGTCTCCTGTTGACGAGACCCTGGTAGCTGTTGGTCAGGCGTCCGGGGAGGCAACCATTCTTCGTCTAGACGATGATTATCAAGCTCCGATTGTTTTCTCCATCAGGAATCAGAGGTATTGCAATGCCGTTGCATTTAGCACTCAGGGACTCTTAGCAGCTGGGCTGGATAAAGTGAGGAATGACTTTTGTTTAAATATCTGGGACGTAAACCAGCGCCTCTCCGTGACCGGTTCTCGAGGATACGGGTCCGATAGACACGCGTTAGAACCCCTGAGGAAGCTCGCGAGCTCGGAACCGATTACCAGTATCAAGTTTTTCAGAGACCAGCCAGATACTCTAGTGACGGGAGTCAAAGGCCAGTTCGTTAGAATATATGATCTACGAGGTATGGGTGATCTCAACTTCTTTGGATTTTTCACTACCTAACCGGTGACACACATATATATTTCTCAATTTACAGAGGGCTCAGGAAACCCATCCTTACAATTTCCCACTCGCTGTGTACATAATTTAGCTATCGATTGGTTGGATGAAAATTATATTGCGTCGGGCAATCCCTCAGGAGATCCTACCATCTGTATCTGGGATCGACGTTCCGGAGCTAGATTTCCATCCGCGGCACTCCCAACCACGGACTCCAGCCAGCTCTCGGCAGCCCTTGAATTTAGGAATGTTATTGACCCAAAATCCTCGATATGGAGTCTGCGGTTCTCTAGAACTAAACGGGGATGTTTAGGGATGTTGTCTAGTGACGGCGACTTCAAGGCATATGATATGGCCAAAGAATACGTTTCAGACGAAAACCGAACGTCACTAGATCAGACCCTGGGCAGAAATTCCGCCACATCATATCCGGAACAAATCTACACGAAGACTGTTCGAGACTTCCGGAATCCTTACTTTCCTCATGACCGCAGTACTAATCCTTCGCAGAAAGTAGCATCGTTTGACTTTTTGAATTTTAGTGCGTCAAATGAACCGACCACCGTTACACTTTTGGCCAATCGGTCTGTCGCGCTATTCACACTTCAATCGCAGCCATGCCCCATGGATCTTTCTTCTCAAAGCGTATTAGCCCGCGGAGGGCTGGGAGAACATGACCTAGATTTCAAGCTTATAAGGCCTTCGTCAGAATCTCCCTCACGAATATCCAAAACCTCGAAAAGAACTCAGGATCGTTCTACATCACCTACCGCCCAACCAAATGGCAGCTCAGCCACTATAGGGGATAATAAAAATGGCGGTGGCCGAAGCTCCCCCGATTCTTCTGCTTCAACCAAGGTCGCTCAGCGTTTGCCCAGTCGGGAGAGCCGTGAAAGGTCTTTATCGGCGGGAATGTCTGACACACGACTAACAGTCCGTGATGCTTTAGCATGGATGTCCATTCCTCGGTTACGATGTCAAGAGGGCTACCTCGTCGATGGCGAGGCCAACAAAGAGCTCTTTTCTGACGATCCTGGACTGTGGGAGTTTTGGGATTGGGTAGGGCGTATGTTTGCCCGCTTCTTTTGCCTGGTGACCCTTCGCTGAGTAAAAATAGGCGCCCGAGAAAACTCCATCGGCGATTCAATGATAATTAATTCGGTGGATATGAATTATATTGGTGTATATAGTATATGGAATGAGAGGCTTGGTAAGCATGCCCAGGAACGTTGAAGTTTTGATGGGACTTTTTTTTAACAGAAAAGTATAGGCCAGAGCCTCGAGGATCGCGTACTCCGTTCTAATGTGAACCAAACTATCGATATAAATAATCTTATCATAGATCTCGTCAAGGCACTTGGTATTCCAGAAGGAAAGGGATGCACCACTCGATTCCCGGCTCACCGTCGACTATGCCTTCGCATCAGTGGAGCCGCGGAATCTACTGCGGATTTGGAGGCCATAGTGAACAATCTTGTAGAAGCACGTCAGCATACAAAGGCTGCTGCACTGGCTCTGTTCCAAGATGAACCAAAATTAGCTCTCTTGGCTCTCAGGAAAAACCAGCCTACTCAGGGACATAAACTTCTCGCCATGGCCATTAGTGGTGCAGCGAAGGGGGATACCGACCCCTACTGGGAGGAAACATGTAGGGAAATCGGGCAAGAGCTCGCAGATCCCTACGCTCGGGCTATTTTAGCGTTAGTGGGCAAAGGTGACTGGAATTCTGTAATTGGAGAGGTCACACTACCTTTGAAATATAGACTGGAAGTTGCTCTCCGCTGGCTCCCCGACGACGAACTAACTTCTTACCTCCGGGATGCAACCATGGATGCGATACGCCAAGGGAATATTGAAGGAGTTGTCCTTACAGGCCTTGACCATGGAGCGATGGACCTATTTCAATCTTACATAGACAAGTTCGGCGACATCCAAACGCCCGTACTTGCCATGAGCCATACTGTCCCGCGATTCATCACGGATCCGCAAAATAGCACCCGATATGAAGCTTGGCGAGAGACATATCGACGACAGATCAATTCCTGGAAACTCCAGCTAGATAGGGCTAGGTTTGACGTTGAATCACGAAAGCTGGCAGTTACTTGGTATGCCCGTAAACTCATAAAACCACCTCCACAGCAGATCAGTTTAGTTTGCAACTACTGCACTCGCCCTCTTTCTCAGCAGGATGGGTCTGAATATCCGGACCTCCCATCAACCGGTATGGAAGTCGTTCATTCAGTGCCAATGAGCCCGTTGGGAACTGCATCGCAGTCGGGTACCATCTGCCCCAAGTGCGGGCGACATATGCCTAGATGCGGAATTTGTTCTTTATGGTTAGGCACTGCAGATCCAATGTCTCGGGCCTCGATTGCTGGCGGAAGCACGAACAAGCAAGCAAGCGAGGCACCGCAGGAAGATGTGATGAAAAGATTTGTCGTCTTCTGCATCAACTGCAACCACGGATTCCACGCTCATCATGCAAGGGACTGGTTCAGAAAGCATAAGATTTGTCCAGTTGCTGAATGCCATTGCATATGTGACCGATGAAATATGACCTTTGTGGCTTTGAGTGTGTGTTTGTTTTTTTTGGAATAGGCCCGTCGTTTGTCCGCGTGGTTCTATTGTTCTCTTCGCGTTCGCCTTCGTGTCAATAATCTCTGGAAATATACCACGCCTATTTTACTTGAAATAACATTTCCTGCCAATAATACGTAGAATCTACGTTGTCTCTCCTCCAACGAACAAATTGTTGCTACCAGCGTTGACGTAGTTAGCTTCACATCTCCACATATTAGGAATTTGCCGAACCTAAAACAAGAGGCTAAAAAGGCTTACTTAATACCGACGATCACTCACTAAATAACTTAACTAGAGGTTATTCGAATGACTGCGCAAAGTTATATAATTCTTGAAGAAGGGAAATTTCCCCTCTCGTCAACCACTACTAGAGGGTCACCAACTTCTCAAGCGCAAGCTCGCTCCTCGTACGTATTCACTGTTCCACCTCAACTCCACATGATTCTTTGAAACCCACTCCGCCTCAGCCACTTACTTCTACTCACAACAGACAGACAACAAACAACGAAGCTCTGACGACGTTCCAGACGCCTTCGTTGACTGGTTCGGTTCGAGCTTTTAGCGAAATATTAGAAAATTTTCCCGCGCCATATGTCACATTCTCGTCGAGGACGGGATCATGGGCGGGGACACGGAGCGGGGCGCTCCGAGCCCGGTCGTGAGGTAGTTGTGTCCAAGGCGTTGAGCTACATCTTACGACACGCAGCGGAGAGAGAAGGGGTGAAAATCGACAGTCATGGCTATGCGAACGTGGCTGATGTGGTATGTCTCTCGCGCATTTTTATTATGTCCATCCACACCGCAGGCCTCTCAAACAAACCCCCCGCCAAGCAAAAACGGTGCCGTTCACCAGATTCCAAACAAAGTATGAAAAGAAGGTACTAACGGAAGCGATATGATTGATTTAACAGCTAGCCTGGAGAAAACTAAAATCCCTAAAAGTCACTTTCCCCGAAATCCTAAACGCCGTCCACACCTCCGACAAGCAACGGTTCGGCCTGTTATATAAACCTCCTCCACAACCACACGATGAGACAACTACAATAGCGCCCACAGACCCATGCGAACAAGATAGCCATGGCTCTACTACCCCCCCCCCCGACTACAGCCTCAGCCGCAGCC